GGCGATGCTGAAGGCAGGGAGGCAGATAAGAGACTAGTAACAGTCTGGCTGAGAGATGATGAGGGCCTGACCCGAGGCAGTGGCAGTGGAAAGGGTAGTTTCGAGAGGTCAAACTCCTGCTGAAATTCTGAGCTACCACTGTTCCAACCCCTCCTTTTCCAGTGCACTCAACGCCACTCCTGCCCTCTTCAGATGCCGTTCCTGCTCCCTGTTCCCAAGTGCCTTTGCCCCTCTGCTCTTTTGCTCAGAGCCCTCCTTCTAGTTTAAGGTGCAGCTGAAGACCACCCACTGCTCAAGCCCTCAGTTGTCTCTTCAGCACCATACTCTCTGCTGTCATTGTTTTGATGGAGAACCTGTCAGAATAGGGGGAGAGAGCAGAGATTAGTAATTGTTCTGTGTGGCTGTCACACCTCCTGGAAGTCACACCTCCCTGTTGCTTGAGGGCAATAATGATATCTTGTTCTTTCTTGCACCCCCAGGCCCACGATGGGCCCAGCACACAGTACGCAGTACGTGTTCCCGATGATGCCGGCCCCTGACTTTGTGGCACACGCCAGAGGTACTGTTGGGGCTGATGACTTCCATCCCCAAGCTCCTGCTCAGCAGTGTGAGGAATGCTCATTTCCCTTAAGCACACTGCTTGAGTCACTCTCTACTCTTCTGCAGCTCCTCATTTCCTGTTGAACTCTCCTTAGCTTTTAAGGTCCATCCATCCCTTCCCCCCATATTACCCTAGTAGACAACTCTGCTGTCATCAGACTGACCCCAAAACAAGCCTCACTGAGTCTGATTCTTAGTCTTTGCACAGGCTGATCTTCTGTCCCAAGGACATCCTCACTCTTCCCTTCTGGTGCAACCAAGGACATCTTTCAAATTCAGGAAACCTGCCCAGTCCCTTATGGTCTCAGCCCCCAAAGTCTTCCCTAGTGGGACTTCCAGCGTGCCCAAGGCAGTTATTCCCCGGACTTCAGTTTGCTATTCTGTGTATCTTCATCTCCCCAACTAGAGAGTGAGCTGCTGAGGGTCACTATTTCAAAGGGTACCTGGTACGTTTCCAGACACATGAAGCCCACGAATGCATATTAGAGATTGCCATATTAGAGAACTAGAGACAAATCTACTCCTCTGACTCCCATCTTATCAGCCAATTGCATTCTCCACCCTCAAACCTTAGTGTGTAAGGGATTCTGAGACAGAAGTGTCTCTCTGAAATGGCAACCCAATTACTTCAATAAAATATTTAGTGTCTCTTGGCCAATCCTGCTGCTGGTACTGAGTCACTACTCATCTGTGGTGATTCTAAGCCTGACTTTATGATTCACACTCTAAAAATGGGGTGAGGTTTTTACCAAGAAACTAATTCCAGTGTGAACTTAGGCTCCCAATTATTAGGTTCCTCTGTGGGTTTGTAGCTGCTAGCACAGCACTTCTCAAGATCTAGTGTCTTAAGTTTATAGGATGGGGTTGTTCTCTGGCAAATGCCTAGAGTGCCTTTCACGGGATAATGGAGGAGGTTCTCTGTAATAAACTTGTTCCACCAGCCTTTCTTGGGACTACTCATTTTCTGTAAACAGCCCATGTCTGATCTGGGATGGACAAGCTAAGGAAGAATAGATAAATCTTTGGGCTCTTCTTTTCATTCATACTTTCTGAGTAAATGTTCTTGGTTCCTCAGCTAGAATGTGCCTATATCTGTAAGGGGGAAGTTTCAGAGACTGTCTTCCAGGCCCTGTAACTGAGCATTTGACTCCACTTAGAATGGTCTAGGTGAACTGCTTTAACAATGACTGTTGGGAAAGTGGAATTTTTTAATCAGGCTCCCCTAGCCTTGGGGCTGGTTGGGGGTGGTTCAGTAAACAAATTGTGAGCAGGTTGTGTGTGGGTGGCGTTAGTGCAACTGTGGGGGGCTGCCACCTTGGCTGGAGTTTATTGTCTTGAGCAGCCGCCGGGCATGCAGCCCTGCTTTTCCAACCTGTGGCTTCCAAGGACCTGTTTTCCGGTTACCTAACTCATAGACCTGCGTGTAAGGGGTCTGGGGACCCAGCCTGGTGTGTGAAGGGTTTGTGACCCAGTCTGGACAATGGGCTTGCGGGGTCTGTGAGCTCCAGACCCAGCCCTAGCTCGACGATCAGCCCAGTCGGTGCGGGATTACGGGCAGGTAAAAGAGCTCCACAACTGGCAACGTTGGCAGGATTCCAACATTAGCTGTAGGGAAATCACTAAAACCACAATGTGTAAATGAGAGAAATGGGGTGATTTCATGAAATCTGCATTCTAGTCCCAAGACTTCCACTAACAAGCTGCACAACCTTGGGTGAGTCATTTAACAATAGCAGCAGTGGTGGCAGGAGCTAACCTTTACAAAGGGTTTGGAATGGGGCCTGGCACAGGGTAAGCCCTCTGTAAGGTCACCTGCTATTATTATCATTGTCACTGTTACATAGGGTTTATTATGCCCAGTACTAAGCACTTGGCATACATTATCTCATTTAATTCTCAGAATTATGAAGTGAGTTTTATTATTCTTGCTGTACAAAGGTGAACTGAGGCTTATAGAGTCAAATCCAGACAGTCTAATGCCCAGTCCCATGCTTTCAAACTCTGTTGTTACACTTGATTTCCTTGGGCTTCAATTTTCTCATCTGTAAAACGTAGGCGTTAGACTACTGATTTTTAAAACCCTCCAGTTCTAAAATTTCTGTATATTTTCCCCATTACACGTTTCCTTCTTTTCCCCCTCTACCCCCTCCCCCACCCCTTATCCATGAATTTCGCTGTGTTCATCATCACGAGATTGGCAGGATGTTTTCCCCATTGAGTTATGACGCTGCATGTGTCAGCACATGGACTTGTATTGTGTTTTTTTTTTTTTTTTTTTTTTTGGAGAGGGCAGGGGGGCTGGTTTACATGCTGCTATTGTTGTGAGAGGAGGAATCTGACTCTTCAATTTTACTGTCTTATCTTGGCCTACAGCCATTACCACACTGAGCAACACTAACACTTGACAGGGCTTGAGAAAGGCTTCATCGGCAGAAGCCTGTGGGAATCAGCTCTTCGAGTTTTTGGACTCTGTTGCTCTCTGATAAGATCTGGCTTAGGAGAGCTGCACTCTCCAGGCTGTTTGCAGTCCTGGGATCTTAGAAGAGGCACTTGGAGAAGAGATTTCTGGGCTCTCCTTCCCATGTATAGCTTGGGTATTCTGGCAGATTTCCACAATGGGAGTTTTGCAGGGCATTTCATTGTCGTTCCGTTGTAATTGATATTTGTAAAGTACTTGGGTGTAAAGATGGGTGCGAGTCTATATACACAGTATTCTGTGCTACTATTTTGTGGCTGTGACCCAGGGTTAGAGTGTTTGGCATCAGAAGAGTTGGGTTCAAGGGTTGGATTGATCACTTCCTAGCTTGGTGCATCTAACTCACCTGCTTGTAATGGCATCTAGTAGATCATTCTTTAGGTGGGATCTCATTACGGAGAAAGAGTCACTTTGTCACTCTCCCAAGATTGGTGAATTCTTTCTCTTAGAAGCCTAAAGGAAGCATTTTAGGAAGCTTAGGGTACCACATAAGAACCTGGAAATACTAAAAGTGTTGGATAAGTCACTTAACTTCTCTTAGCCCAGATTTCTTTATCTATGAAAGAATTACAGAAAGAATATATATATCTATGAAAGAATTTCATATATCTATGGAAGAATTATGTACCACATGTCTTATTCAACTGTTGAATCAAATGACATATGGTATGGGAATGTATTTCTGAAAATTATGGATTTTATGTAAACACTAGTTGTTTTTAGGAAGTATCATACAACAAAATTAATTGTTTTAATCACCAAAAAAAGCGAAAGTTGTTTATTGTTTCTGCTCTGATTTTTCCCCACTGTAGATTATTTGCTGCAGATAATAACTTGTAGTAAAATTTTCTCAACATTTTATTTTTTATGTGTGCCAATTGGAAGGCTATGATTTAAGTTGTTCTAGAAACTATCTGAATATTGTGAGCATTCAGTTCATAAGAACTGACTTTGTTCAAGGCAGATAGTAGCTCTTTTGTGGAAGCACATTAATTTTGCATTAATTCAGATTTTATTAATTCATTATTAGATCAAGAGCTAAATTCAGGTTTGAAAAATACCTAATGGCATAAACAAAATTATAAGTCAATTTAGTGTACATAGAACATAATCGCAATGTGAGTAAAGGCTAGACCTTTACATACTAATTCGAACTGGCTTAGATTGAAAATGTGTTTCTCTAACTCACACTTTTCTCTAACGCGGATATTCACTATCCTCTTACTCCAAATGAACGAGATGACTCCATTTCTATTTTTCTTGACTGGTAAACCACGCTTGGAGATACCATCTGGATATTGTTGGGTTTCTGCCAAAGATTTAACTTAGGCTTGTGAGGAGTTACCTGCCTAAGGCAAGAAACTGCACTGATTTAATAGAAAACAACATGCTTTTATTTTACCATCTGGGAAAAGAAAGTGAAAGCACTTTGAAAAGTTTTAATATTTGTTTTATAATGATAGCACTATATTATAGATAGTATTTCTAAAATATAATAATTGGGGAAATTAGGAAATCTAATTGCTGAAATTTGTTGGATTATTTACAAGTTCATGTGAAAGCTTATCCAGAGATCTTGATGCTAAAGGCAGATATTTCTGTATAAAAGGTGGGGGAATGACAGGAGCAGACAGAAGTAAGGCAAGTTGGAAACCACCTCAGACCTCCTTGTGGGCAGTGCTAAAAGCCCTAGACCCATGTGGATTGGGTATAATGTGATGGTTATCCTTTTTAATTTTTTTTTTTTAAACAGATTTCTGATTGGCAGATTAACCAAAGGCAAGAGGGACTAATTGGTCTACGTTCTGAGTACTGTTCTTGGTAAGACCCCTGTAACAGACCCTAAGCCCAAGTGCACCGTGCTACCACCCCAGACATTATTCTGGGGTCCGCCTGAGGTCAGCAGTCTGAAGATGACCAGTGCCTTCCTAGCATGACGACCTTGGACCATGTGATTGCTACCCACCAGTCAGAGTGGGTCTCCTTCAATGAAGAGCCACTCTTTCCTGTCCCTTCTGAGGGTAAGGAGTGCTTTTGTTTCCTAAGGTAAAAAGATTGGCGAAGAACTGTGCCTGTTTGTTGTTGCTTCTACTTGGTCATTCTTTGGGTGGGATCCTAATACAGAAAAACGTGCCAGTTCATCACTTTCCTGAGATGTGTGAATTCTTTCCCTTAGAAGCCAGGAAGAGGCATCTTAGGAAACTTTGGGCCCTGAAAAGGGGCCTGGAAACACGATCTTCTTTTTTTCCCAGGAACGTAAACTTAATATTTACAAAGTGCATTACTCTCAGCCTGTTTGGTTGTTACTCCCACCAACAATTTGGAATTTCTCAATTTTTAAAGTGTAGTTGTTAAGACTGACAGGCTCTAGAACCGGGTTTCTTGGGCTCAAGTCCTGGCTCCATCACCGATGAGTGACGTGCCCCTGGGTAGATTGTTTATTTAACCTCTCTGTGCATAGTTCTTTATCTGTACAGTAGGATAATCACAGTACCTATCTCACGGGTTGTTGTGAGGATTGAGTGAATTAGCATATGTAACGTGCTTAGAACAGAGTCTGGCACATGGAAAGAGCTCAGCGTTGTCATCCTTGAACACAGTGAATATGGCTATATTCACTTCTAGGGAACTGGGGCTCAGGTATGAAGGTCAAGGTAGGATCTGGGGGATATTTGCAAGCCATGTCAGTTGGTCTGTTCTACTGTAGCTGCCAGTACCAACTGAAATTATCCCACCTTCATTTATAACACCTGGGAAGAGTGAGTCTACAGGTATGCTATCTGATATGGTGGCTATCTGGCTACTGAGCTCTTGAAATGGTGGTGAGTCTGAATTGAGATGTGCTATAAGTATAAAATACCTACACTATATTATGAAGACCTAGTTTTAAAAAAAAGGATTAAATATCTCATTAACAATTTTCATATTGATTACATATTGAAATGATAAATTTTCATGACACTGGGTTAAAATATGTATTATAAAAATATTTTCTCCTATTTCTTCTTACTTTTAAAAATGGGGCTACTAAAATATTTAAAATTGTGTATGTGGCCCACCTTTTATTTCTATTGGACAGTGCTAGTCTAGAGGCTTTGATCACATGCAGTTAGACCAGTTGGTTTGGATAGTGATGGGATAAAGGATTTTCATATTCTCTGATTTTTGAAAAAGTTTTCATACAGTAAAATTGACATTTTTTGGTGTACGGTTGACGAATCTTAGCCTATGTATAGATTTGTGTATCCACCACCATAATCACGATATAGATCTTTTATTTTCATAAAAAATTTTTGAAGGCTATTAAATATTCCAAGACCAATAAAATGATTCAGGAAGAGACTATGTCATGTTCATCTGGTCATTTGTGTAAGGTTTCTACTTGGTGGACTGAAGATGTGTATAGTTTGGACTGCACAGAGTTTGAATTTGAATTTAAGGGACGGCCCGTGGCTCACTTGGGAGAGTGTGGTGCTGACAACACCAAGTCAAGGGTTAAGATCGCCTTACTGATCATCTTTTAAGAAAAAAAAAAAAAAAGGGAATTTGAATTTAAATGTCTTTAGTTCAGATAGAAGCTTTCCTGTTCAGCCACAGTCTCCACCAGTCTCTATTGCCTTTCACTCATCCGACTCAACTCAAGTATACTTCTTACTTGACCTCTGTAGGCATTTTCATTTGTGACCCCCAAGCACTGGAGTAGATGCTGGGATAAGAATAGTGAACAGGACTCCTGGTCTCACTCTTCCTGCATACTGACTGAGGACATGCTGAGGCTATCATTTTTACACATCATTAGGGAGGTAATCCTTCAGCACCGAGGCAGATGGGCGAGGCTGTTTCTTCTCCCCCACCTACTGGTGCTGCAGTCAACCTTGCCCATCCTTAGTTTTTGCCTCCATGAGACAGTTCTGAAGAGTGGCCTTCCTCACATGATGGTGGTGTCTGGTATCTGTTTCAGGGGGCACCGAAGAGCACCTCCCAGTACTGTCGTCATCCTCAGACCGGTCTGAGAGCTCCTCTGGGGAGAATCACATGGTGGATGGAGGCTCTCAGGACCTTTCCCACTCAGAGCAGGATGACTCCTCTGAAAAGATGGGCCTCATCTCTGAAGCGGCCACCCCTCCTGGGAGCCCTGAACAGCCCCCACCTGACCTGGCCTCAGCCATCAGCAACTGGGTTCAATTTGAAGATGACACACCCTGGGCCAGCATGTCACCACCTCCTAAAGAAACAGGTGGGCCAGGTGGGAGGCTAGGAGGGGTTCTGGCTTGGGCATATACTTGGGCTGCCAGGATTCTACTTTACCTGCTCCAGAGCCCTGAAGCATTGGCCACACAGGAGAGAGCAGACGAGATCTCATCTGGTTTAATTCTGTATCTAGTTTTTGTTGACATAACCATGCAAAAGAATTTATGTGGTCTGGGATGTTTCCAACCTTTTACCCTTGCCCCTTGCTGTGGACCTGTCTTTGGAAGAATACATATATATTTATCTATTAGGGATCGAAATTATATGTATATCATCACCTAAATTATAAACTCATAACACATTAGAATGAATGTCTCTCAAAGTATGGACCACCGGCTGTCTTTAATAGAGTCACCTGTGGGACTTGTTAGACATAGGTATTCTCATGCCCCGGGCCTCTTGAATCTAAATCTTCAGGGGTAAGGACAGTATTTCGTGGCATTTAAATGGCCGGAAGCTACACTGGGGAGCTTAGTGTGGCCGCAGGAATTGTTAGTCCCCATCCGGTGAGCTGGCTACTTATTTTGTTGTGCACTGAAGCATACCAAGGGTGATTGGGTAATCTTTGGGCCTTTATTAGTTTTTACTTGCTGCTGTAACAGATTGCCACAAACTTAGAGAATTAAACAACACAAATTTATTATCTTACAAGTCCGTATTTCAGAAGACCAGCATGGGTGTCACTGGGCTAAAATCAAGGTGTTGGCTCTGGGAGAAAATCTGTTTCCTAGCCTTTTCCAGCTTCTAGGCCACTCACATTCCTCGGCACATGGCCCCTTCCTCTCCAAAGGCAGGCATGTAGGATTTCTTTTTGCCTTTCTTCTGAAGTGACAACTTTCTCTGACTACTTCTGCCTCCCTCTTCCATTTTTAAGGACCCTTGTGATTATATTGGGCTCACCAGGATAATTTCCCCATCTTAAGGTCCTTAACGTAATCACATATGTAAAGTCCCTTTGCCATGTAAGGTAACATATTCACAGGTTCTTGGGATTAGAATGTGGACATCTTGGGAGGGGTGTATTAGTCTCTCTACCACAGAAACCTACTAGCAAAAAGGATTGATATGTTTTTTTCTGTTGTTGGTGGGTTAAATGTTTTGCTAGTTGTACTTTTTAGAAATGATTCCTTTGTTTTTCAAACACGTTTTCAACACCAATAAAAAGATTTTAAGAAAATGTAAAACATGATTCTACCATATAACAAATGTTTCCATTTTTACATAAAAATTTGTACATTTGTGTATACTTTTTCATATTTAAGCATCAGATTTTCAGTGAACTGTTGGTTAGAGAGCCATGACACTCAAAGCAGCGTGGACGAATTGACAGGTCCAGACAGATTTTCCAGTCTGGCAGGAGAGGGCAGAAGTAACCATTACTACACATTTATCACTGTCAAGATGCTGGGCTAAGCATTTATACGTGTAGGGAAAAGTTACCAAACACTGGTTTTATGATTTGAATGTTTGTGTCCCTCCGAAATTTATGTTGAAGTCTAATTTCCAATATGTTGGTATTAAGAGATGGGTCTTTGAGAGGTGAATAGGTCATGAGGTTGGAACCCTCATGAATGGAATTAGTGCCCTTATAAAAGAGACTTGAGGGAGTTTCCTGCCCCCTTTTCTGCCATGTGAGGACACAGCACTTGTCCCTTCCACCATGTAAGGACACAGTGAGAATGTACCATCTGTGAGTATATTAGAATTAGTGCCCTTATAAAAGAGACTTGAGGGAGTTTCCTGCCCCCTTTTCTGCCATGTGAGTACACAGCACTTGTCCCTTCCACCATGTAAGGACACAGTGAGAATGTAGCATCTGTGAGTATATTGGTCCATTTTCTCTTGGTTATAATACCTGAAACTAGGTAGTTTATAGAGAAGCAAAATTTATATATTATAATTTCAGAGGCTGGTTAAGTACACAGTCCAGGGGGCATATCTGGTGAGGACCTTCTTCTGGGTGGGAACTCTACAGGGCCCCATGGCAATGTAGGCAATCACATGGCAAGGATGGCAAGAGCTCTCTCATGTGCTCTCCTTATAAAGTCACCAGTCCACACCCCAGATAACCCATTACCCTGTGAATGGATTAATACATTCACAAGGGCATAATCTTCACAATCCAGTCACCTTTTAAAGGCCCCATCTTCTAAATACCGTAATCAGGTTTCCCACCCTTTTAACACTACTACAGTGGTGATCAAGTTTTCTATACATGAACTTCTGGGGAACACATTTGACCCATAGCAATGAGGATCAAGCCATCACTAGACACTGTCCTGCTGGTGCCTTGATCTTGGACCTCGCAGCCTCCAGAACTATGAGGAATTAATTTCTATTGTTTATAAATTACCCAGTCAAAGGTACTTTATAGCAGCAGGAACAGACTAAGACAACTGGGCCGTGAATCAGTGTAGAAATATGTTTCTTATTTTTATTAAGATATATTTATTGAATGCTTGCTCTCTCAGACATAGTGCTCCATGCTTTAAATACATCATCTCATGGACTCTTTACAAGAATCATATGAGGAAAGTATTAATATTATATTCAGATTTCTAAGAGGAGATTGAGACAGAGAGTGGTTTGGGAATTTGCCCAAGGTTGTTTGCTGGGAAGTGGCAAGAAAGAGCCTCATCATCAGGAAGGCTGGCCCCAGGATGTCAGAGCAACCAAGAGATACACTGTGCTCTGTTTACCTCGTTCTTCCTGCTGCTACTGAGCTGCTCTGGTGTCCTTTGCTCCCTCATTACGTGGGAGGCAGGGGAGGTGAGGCATGAGAGGTAAGGGATGGATGGGGAGGTGTTTCTCCACTCAGTTGCCCTAAGATGGCCATGCCTTCAAGTCACTGATTATATCCATGTCATTCAGATTCTTTCGCATCTTGTTCATAGCTTACCTTTAGCCTCAAATATTTCCTGATTGCTCAAAACTGTTTATATGACAAATGGGGTCAATTTGCTTTACCTTTTCACCACTTATTTTTGCAAAACTAATTTTGGGATTAGTCATAATTATGTTGCCCCCATCTGACTGAAGATCTTAGCTTGTTATTGACAATGGCTTTGACATATTGTTAAAACTTTATCCTTTAAAGCAGCAGTTCTCAAAATGTGATCCATACATCCCTTCAGTTTCCCAAGACCTTTTCCAGGGGTCTGTGGGGTCTAAATTATTTTTGTAATAATTTTAAGATGTTACTTGCCTTTTTCACTTCATTGACATATGCACTGATGGTGCAAAAATAATGGCGGGTTAAATTTCTAGCCATTGTGTACTCACAGTAAAAAATCAAAAGTCAATTTCAATATTTAATTTCAATTTCAATGTTCAATCGTTGTATCAACAAGCTGTTTCTACCTATTGTTTTAACTATCTTACCCCTAGTTACTGTAGGCCTTTGCGGGCAAGGTTCACACAAAGGACGTAACGAGTGGTAAGGGCTTCAAGATGGAGTAAGCTATGCTCACAGTCTCACAGTAGGCAAGAGCAGGAATAAACCATGCATGCGTAGGGCTGGCCCCACCTCAGGCAGTGTTTCTAACCAAGAAACCCAAGAACCATGGAGAACTGTGCAGAACATTAGAGTGGTAAAGAAAATAGCAATAAATCTAAGGGTTCAATCCCAAATCGCCTGCCAGTACCCAACTTGACCCATCAATGAATATACTAAATAAAAGGCCATAGGGTACATTCTTATTGCACAAACTAATCTATCTGCATAAGCTAACTCCCTCATGGGTTTCTTCCCACGTACTGTGTTTACCAATAAGGAAGAGTGGTTGGTAAAGCTAAGGCAAAGTGATAAGCAAGAGAAACTAGGCTTTAGCTCACTCAGTGTGGATAATGTAGACATTCCCCAACTTAGATAATTGTTCGATTCTGGAGGCTGTTGGGCAGCTCAGATTTTTGTTTGAAACCAAAATGTTTGGATACATGTGCTATGTCAGTAATACCACATACGTAACTGTAGGCAGAAATAACACGTTTGCATCAAGTATCCTCACAGTGATAAGGACACTGTGAGACTTCTTGCAATCACTGCTGCCTTCTCTGTTCTTTTGGTAATACTAAATTTTCATGGTATAGTAGGTGGAATAATGGATAAGACATCAGGTCCTACTTTCTGGACCTGTAAAGATTATTTGCTTGGAAAAAGGGTCTTTGCAGATGTGATTAAGTTAAAAGTTTTGAGATAGGGAGATAATCCTGGGCCCTAGGAGTTCTGGACCTGTAAAGATTATTTGCTTGGAAAAAGGGTCTTTGCAGATGTGATTAAGTTAAAGGTTTTGAGATAGGGAGATAATCCTGGGTTATCTGTATAGGCCCTAGGAACAATCGTGTGCATCCTTACACAAGGGTGGCAGAGGGAAATTTTGTCCACACAGAGAAGAAGGCAATGTGAAGATGGAACAGAGAGAGATTTGCAGATGCTGCCTTTGAAGACTGGACTGATGAAGCCACAGCCAAGGAATGCTGGCAGGTGCCCGAACCCGGAAGAGGCAAGGATTCTCCTAGAGCCTCTGGAGGGAGTGCAGTCCTGCTGACATCTTGATTTCAGTACAGAGATTCTGATTTCTGACTTCTGGCTTCCAGAACTGTGAAAGCATAAATTACTGTTATTTTAAGCTACCAAGTTTGTTACCATTTTTTACAGCCACCCTAGAAAACTAATACACTAAGTCTCTAAATTCTTAAAGTGGAGCCATTTGCATACAGCTGAGAATGAGTCAGTCTAGGCTCGCAGAGCATCTGTAATACGAGTGTGCTTCTAAATGTTCATGGAAAGATGTGTACTGTCTTTTAATTCTGTTCTTCCATGAACTTTTTGAAGCACCCTTGTAGCCCAGGCCATTTGTTAAGCAGATGTGTAGTAGCCATTATGCTTCGTCTCCAAACTTTACAGCTCTTTATAATTTATTCATTGAGTTACCAAATATTTATTAAGTACTTCCTCTCTATAGTTCTGCTAGTTGTGAATATTCAGACATAGTA